TTCAGCTAAACAAGTCGACTTAAACAGTGATGGTCAGCATCCAATGTTGAGTGATGATTGCTGTGGTTAATAATTTTGGGGAATTATTTACCGCTACAAGTGCTTCCAATAAAAAGTTACTTTTAGATGTAGAATCCCTATTTACTAACGTCCCATTTACAGAAACCATGTGCCTAATATGTAGATATATTGACGAAAACAAGCTGAATTTAGAGATGCCTGCTACACATCTGAAAGAACTACTATTGAGGTGCAGACTGAATGTACAATTTACATTCAGTGAAACAGTCTGCAGATAAAAGAAAGATATGGTCATGGGGTATCTTTTGGGTTCTCCACATACAGACTGTTTACAGTCAGTCTAGTCAGTCAGCTGAACTCAGCAATCCAAGGTCTTCAGTTGCATGGAGAGCATGTAGATTACACCTTTATTATTTGGGATGATAACTGTAATTTGAATTATTTATTAAATGCATTAATAGTTGGCATCCAGTAATAAATTCATACTCGAAATGGAGAATGAGTCTGACACTCATTTTCTTGATGTGAAGTTATCAAGGATGGAACTATGAGGAGATCAATTTATTCGAAACTGTCATGCAATGGTCAGCTAAAAAATTTCTACAGGTGGGTACCCATTAATCAAGAAGGAAACCTAACTCAATCATTTATCACTCACATTCGGTGTAAATGTAGCCGTGTTACTGTGGAGGGAGAGTTAGATCTTTAGGAAAACTCCTAATGGAAAATGGATTTCCACCACATTTTGTAGACAAGAACACATAGTTAAAACCTATGAAATGTGATTTAGCGTCTGTAACTGGGAAAATGCTGCATATGAACCTTGAACTCAGAGGAGACTTAATTGCTGACATATCCTTATAAGAAGGATCTCATAGTCCCTAGAAATTACATTCACTCCAGTATAGTATAGTCCACCACTACTGTTTAGTAGCCTGGAGGAGAAGATCCCACAGCTGACCAACTTCATGTGACTTTACAAGTTCACCTGCTCCAGTGGAGTTCGACGCGGAATTGTCCAAAATGTGTGCAAGAACACTAACTTGTGTGGTTACGAAAATGTGGAAGTGGATCTGTATGAAGCGTGATAACTGAACACATGATTGATACCGGTCACCTTAATTCTACAGCTTCCTTCTTTAAAGTTATCTATATGGGCTAAAGTAATTCACACAAAGCATTACGTCTGTATTGCGCAATTTCGGGTCATAGAAATGGAAAAACTAGATCTATTTATACAGAAAAAGTTTGTTCAGCCGCTCCTTTCTTCAGATTCTTAATCCTTCTGTGCTAAAATACTATAATCGCTATTTATGCTTTGACCCTATTTAGTTTTCGCTTTGTTTATTCATTGAATATATCCACCCCATATCATTTCCATTGCTGTTATCAATTTTCCGGTATTATCTTACTTGCCACTTTTATTTACTTAATTCACTATTATTGTTTTTCTTTTGCAGTCTCGTAACATAATTATTACCGTGTAGCGTAATGGTTCGATTTCCTACTAATCTAATTTAAACATCTAGAGAACTATTTTACAAAATATAGCGATGACGTCAAACAATGAAGACATGTGGCCACAAAGTATTTTTTATTACTTCACACTACTTAAGTTTTGTGAGTAATATGAATTATAATTAAAAAGAGTCTCAACACATGGGCAATTAATTTTTTGAAGCCAAAAATTGCTAACAGAGAGGACACTGAAGACATAGATTCTCCACTCCAAGCCTTTTTCTTCTCCTTCTGTTCTTGACTGCCTTGCGTCCTGACCGGAAAGTAGAACTTCATAGGTTTCAGTAGCGATGGTGTTGCCTTTCATGGAGTGGTGACACTAGCCTCCGTGTTTTCCGGTCTTACTACCGGCTACTAAGCTAGAAGGGGCTTAAGAGTTCTTCGGTAGGGGATCATTTCCATACCTCTAATTTAATGGGTTAACATTTTTCCAGTGAGCTACCGATGCACTCAAGAAGTTTGAAAAATGGCATATTGTGTATATGGGTATTTTGTATGTGTGCATACTTCTGAAGACGCCAACTGAAGAATATTTATTGAAATGAATGTTTGGTTCAAAACAGCATCACTATCGTTTTCTCTAATGTTTCCTTTATCTTTTTTCACCTGTTTTAGTTGCCTTAATTAACACAGATCTATACTTTTCTTCTCTATGTGAAATGACCATTATTTTGCCAGTACTTTACCTATAGCATTACTCCACTTTGTCAAACTAATATATGGATTGATCTCAGTACATCAGAAGTAAAAATATCCCACAGCTTCATACGACAGTTTAAACCAAGCCTCTTTACAGAAATAAAAGCAGACAGGTTTCAGAAATGAAGTGAAAAATTGGCTTTCACATTCCTTGTCTAAAGATATCTGAGTTGTAATTAATATTTTTGAAAATAGCTATTAGTCAGCATTTGCTAATATTCTCTGTAAATGTGTTATTAATATTATCAATTAGTTTGATTAATTAGGCACAATTACTTCCCTGACGTCCATTATTTAGTAATTTTATGGAGGGGTAACATATTCCAATGACAACGGAATTTTCAAAACTATCATATTGCCCAATTATTCAATACTTTACTAGACTATAATATGTTGATTAGACTGCTTAGTTGTTTTCAGTTTTGTACACTTAATCTATTGAATTAGGAAATTGTGCAATCATTATTTATATTACAGAAATCACTGATCTTGTTTCACATGTTCAAGTTCATTTCCTTACTGCCTTTGATTTTATCCACTCACTAATTTTTGGAGAATTTTGAGGAAAAGCCACGGAATAAAATGCCCTTCATTTTCTCCTTTTTAATGACAAAAAGACTTAGACACTTAGGCACTGTGGTAGAATGTAATTCCATATTGGATAAGTTTATTTTAAATATCACACAGTGATACAGCATTAACTGCTGGATGATGTTTAGAGCATAACTTGTTTCTCCTAAGCATATCAAATAGAACAAAATTCCACATATTACAGTTCTGCTTCAGGTTATGTTGACAGATAAACTGCAACTGTGTAATGGTGATGCCCTGGTAAGGAGAATCGGTAAAGGTGTTAGTGAGTGCAACAACAGCAAGTAATATGGCTTATGATTACATATAATGTAACTAATATTGCTGCAGTTTCTTAAAGGTTTTCTGGATTTAAATATATATACTCTAATATACATAATCCATCACATACATGCAGCTCAGGAATAGCATTGATTTGAATAAGACTTGTAAGGCGACACAAATCCAAATGTAGAATGTCTGGCCAAATCCGAAGACACATTCAAAACTACTTGTGAAAACATTAAATGTATGAAGATTTAGTAGTGGTTTTAATCATTTATCTTTGAGAAGACTACACTGTTTGCAATGATTTTAACTAATGATGCAATCAATGGAAAATGCTGTGACCGTATTATACTTCTTACTTAACTAAACTAGAATAGACAAATTAAACTATTCAACTGAGGCAGGACATTTGTTATATTGCAGATGGACAGACTAGAAGCCCAACGTTATACAATCAGATAACTGGTTATTTGAGAGCTTAACTTTCCTACGTATACAATATTTGTTTATAATATATATTTGTGTAATAATAGCCGGTCTGTTTTCTATCATCATTTTCGTGCGCTCAGAGGGTCAGAAGTAATCAGTGATCAGTATTAGTATCGGACACACAATTCGATAGTATTATTGCTTCATCTAACAGAAGAATTCTTGTCTTTAAAATTTTAAGTACTTGATTGACGTATACTGACATCTTTGAAATACGACCTTGAATAATACCCTATCATTCTCTGATTTTTGTCATTGATAAACGATTTACAAGTTTTCGCTTTCAAAAGAACAGTGGATCATAGTTCCAAGATTAATTTAGTCATATGGAATATCGCTTTTATGTTAGTCAGATTTGTCTGCAATATTTTCCTAGTAGGCTTACGATTTCTGAAATGGGATAGTTGGCAGACAGCTGAGACAGTTATATATCTGTTATGTCGGACAGGGATGGTGCGTCATACTTATTCGTATGAAATTATGGGCCGCTAAGTAACATTTCGAAATTCCCTTGATTTCTGCTAGCTAGTTCCTGATACAGGTCTCTAGATTATATTTCCGCATCTCAACAATGGAACGTAGACGCATATGCCTAAGATAGACGTATGATAGAATTCTGAGTTATAATGGGCAGTCATCTCTGGGTTGCACTACGAACCACTGCTATCTCTGAGTCAATAAATATCATTCTGTGGTGAGAGATGGTTGCTAACCAAATTGGTTGACAGTAATTGAGGTCAATGTTAGTCATGTGAAAACAAGGTCAAAATGGACAGGCGGATACAGTTAACATATAGATGAACTGACACAGCCACAAGAGATGCAAGGTTAACTTTGTGTGAGAAACAACCAATCAACAGACTGTATTTTCTACTAACATTAACCTACAATAATGTACATCAAAATCTATAAATAAGTGTTGATTTTCCGTAATAAACGTTCTGTTGCCTGGCCCTTGTCTTCTGTTGTTACAATTCCACTACAGGTTTATAGACTGGCAAGCAGTGTTTCACGTTCAAGTTGTACGTGAATGCTATCGATTATAGATATAATTCAGAAAGACGAACAAAGAACTCAGTTAGTTAATTGCAAATCTTGTTATGATTTTCCTTCGGGAGCCGGGATATTTAGATGACATGTTACCTGCTCAACATCGTAAACAGCGCTATACAGTCAGCCGGGATATAACACGTTACGATCAGTTGGAAAAGTAGGCCGTTTCCAGTTGTTCAGTGGTACTTACATGTTGCAAAATATACTTTGTGATTTGTAGTAGGCTACTCACTAATAACAAGTACCATTATAATTATATAGATAATTTAATTGCTCATGTTCTCATCTGAAGGAAATTATCACACATGAGTGATTTGAAACAAATATAGATGCAGTCGTTTTTAAATAAGAAGGATTTCGTTCTGAAAACTACATTATTTTACTCTGAATAATTTTAGGATAACCAGAAGTGGCAAATATGAAAAATGTAAAGTTAATCGATAGTGAAATGACACATACTTGGCAATATGACTCACACATTTGTGTGCTTTTTTCTATTTAGTGAAAATTGAGAATATTGAGGTAGGAAGAAGGAAAGAAAATTGCTAGTTACCAAAAGATTCATTCCTGGCTACCGTAATCTGTCAGTTAGCCTGTCAAAAGTTATAGTTATGACCACAATATTTATGACTTCGAGTCGTTTGATTTTGTTTCTTCAGAGATGTGGTTTTGTTGAACATATTCCAACAATTCATCCATTAATGACTTTAACTGAATGACATTCTTCGCAGGGTCTGCATCTGGATCATACATCTGTTCTTGTTGTTGTGCCGCAGTAGTGATCAAAAACTTTTTACCCCATTCTGTTTTATGTAAACCAATCCAAATAATAAACTGAGCTGCTATAAACTGTGTGATTTCATGATCATCTGATTGTAGACTCAAATCTTGAAGGACACTGTGAAAACTTTCATCCAATATAGCAATGAACATACTAACCATAACAAATACAACGCATAAAGAGAAAGCAGCAAATAGTAATGGACCCAGTACCATCTCTCTTTCATACATACTAGTAAAGTCGAATTTCCCGAGAATAATTTGCATACTTGTCTCTACAGCATTTAAAACTGTTCTAAAACCATCAAGTGTATCGGTGTATAAAAGATAGAAGACTAGTACAAATGAGGAAAAGATGACTAGAAAGATGAAACAGAAATACTTCAAGTCTTTTGCTGCATACCTTAGAACAGAGCCAAGCAGACCAACCCGCCGGTTAAAGCGAAACAGATACACAAGCTTTAACATAGCGAAAAAGCAGATTACAGCTGTTAAGTAGGTTAAATTTTCATTCCAATAGGCCAGTAATTGAAAGTTCATAAATACATTGCCATTTGTGCGTGTGAATTCCTCGACAGCTGACTGTGTGCTCAAAATCATGTAAATGTATGCAGCTATGGCAGCTACTGAGCCGAATATTATGAATAATTCAACGAAATTCCAAAATTTCATGAAATATCCCAATCGTTGTTTGTATATATTTCGCAATTCTTTTATCAGATAACAAAACAGAATGAACACATACAAGCCCTATCGGAAAAAGCAAAAGATAGGAAATTAGTACATTTCGGAAAATATTTTCAATAAAAGTTGAATGTATATGTTACCACAGTGAATTTTTCGGAGCTGTCTCACCATCTTAAATATGACTGATTCGAATTAACTATTACCGCATCCTTTGCATAAGAATTCTAAGCCATAAAAATGCATATGCTATATAGCATCTTGAATTCAAATTGGTACTCTTTTAATTTAACACCTAGAGGGACAGCAAAAAATGAGGACTATCATTCATATCACGTCATCTTCAGCCCATTTTGTAGTATATTTTCGAGGAGATGTATTTGTATGTATGTGTGTGTTGCAGATATCTCTTAAAAGTGACCTTGGTAAAATAAGAACGTTACTTGATCCAAGTTTTGGCAGAAATGACTAATCTTATAGCAGGTATGTATATATTAAAGCTTGCGCTGAACATGTTGTCTAGAAGAACAACGAAAGCTTCTCAGTTGAATCAACAAGCTAAGAGAATACAGCCAAATCAAAAGGTGTTTGTTCTTTTCTATGCCTTAATCGCCACAACCACCAGTCAATTAAAACTAGACCTAGCATTTCGAAAATATTGACATTAATAAACTTTTTGAGTTAATTTAAAAATTTGTTTATTCTGATCACTCTACATGGACAAATTAAATTAATTTAAAATGCCATTTTCCCTATGGTATTCACTTCTGTGCAGTTCAATCGAGATTTTGTATTCAGTTTATTTGACTGTATTTACTTGTACAGTTCATAAAAATGTTCATCAGTACATGATGACTTAATGTTTAAACAAAGTCATCATATTCCATCTAGATAAAATTCTTCAAAGAATGTCACAGATATCCTGCAACTGGAGTACCATTTAGCAACATGAAATCATGTTTAAGAAGTATAAATTACACGGGGAACAATCACTGTGTAGCTGATGCAATTTATATTCTTCTTCCACAGATATTTAATTCTTGTAAACTGTGGTAATTTATGCAGATTTCTGAGGTTAAGAAATATTTATCGAAAACATCCAGTTGCAGTAATGTATGCTTCAAATTTTCGCTCAAGACTCATACTAGAGTACTTGTATGAAAACACAGCAGTGAGCCGAAAGTATGCCGGTTGGCCAAGTAAGATGAAGATGAAGAAGTGTCGACTAAGTATGGTCACTGAAGTTGGTCGGTACCAATTAATACTAGTCTCCTCATACTTTTCTGAATCTCAAGTAGCAGCAAATTTAAACTCTGCATGGAAAACACTTAGATCGTATACATCAGGATGTTTTAAACAAATTCCTAATATATTCCTAAAGAACAGTTTACTGAAGTAAAGACAGGAATTTACTGGCATATCTTATTCGAAGTAATCAGCTGTCCAACTGACATTCTGCAGCAATAGGTTGTTATGACTGCAAAGTGGAGGACTGTATTGTTATGATTTACATCATACATCTCTGTTAGTTACAATATCATGCTAGATTTCTAGTCCTCTATAATCAAATAACATTTCATTATGATTAAGTTATGGTCTTTGAACATCGGTTAAAATACTATTGCTGATAATGTAGACCCATTAACTGAGTTGATATTTGTGTTATATGGTAACACTAGCCAAATAAAAACTAAAAAATATTCAGGTTGAAAAGACGTTTGAATTGAGTATATTCCATTAGATCATGGAACAAATATATTGTGGAGGGAAAGCTGACTGAATTTATTTACTAAAAGAAGTATGAATAGGTGAATGTTTCGTTTGTGAATAAATATTCTTAGTGTATGCGTGATATATGAAAATCCAAGGATATCAAACCAGGTAAATGCCTTAACTACAAATAGTATGCTGTACTTTATGTTAGCACTTCTTCAGTAACTATCTTATATTTGGATTTTTATAGTTTTATGGGTCCACAGTTATCTTCAAAGTAGATTAATCGTTTAGGCATCATTTAATTATGTTTATAAAGAGATTACAGGCAATTACAGAAGTTACTTAATTCAAGAGTGTTTAGTGCGTAGTGTATGAACTGTTGGCTTGAGAATTAATCATTTAGAAAAAGCAGCCAACTGAGCGAAGAAGTATACTCATCCTCGATTAGTTTTCTACCAACTGCTCTACACTATATATATATATATATATAACTGAAAAGCAATATACTTCTTCGCTCATTTGGTTGTTTATCTAAATAAGTAAATGTGAATTTTTAAATTACCGAAATTGACTATTTTTATTACCATCATTGTAAGTAGTAGAACTAGTGGTAATGCCGTGTTGAAAGAAAAATAAAGGAGAGACAGTCAGTTCAGTTATTTGCTAAATCCATATCTGGAAAAGATTCTGTGATTTTTCTATTTATTTGTTTATTGTGAATCTAATAACTCCAATTGAACCAACATTGTTTATAATAACCATTTGTAATATTTTATTCTGTATAATGCATTTCTTAAGTGCAAATTGTTTCATTCATAAAAATCTTTTTCTGGAGATAGCTCATGCAGGAATTCATTTTTGTTTGGCATTATCAAATGTTACTGTTTTTTGGCTACAGTCCACTTCTATTAAATATTCCAACAGTATTGCTTTGTCTTACTGACATTGTTGTTCTTGACCAGAACGTCTGGCATTTCTGTCTGACTGATATTAATTCATCAAAATCTATCAGTTAGATATCCGTCCATACTTCACAGAGTCCTTTTAAGTCTATCCAGAACTGCATATGGTTTCTTAAACCTACTACATAAGTAACTCCAGTTAAGATAGGCTATGGGCTGATTCTCCCAGAACATGGTGAGGATAAACCTAATTTTAATGATTGTCATTCTATATCTTATCAAAACGTTGTTGTTTTGAGCGAAGCATCGATTCAGTATAGGCGTGTATTCATTCTAACAATAGACACACCTACAATAAATTGATATCACAGTTTAAAATGCAGGTTTTTAGTGAGAAACACCTCAGTAAGGCGATTGCAACTTGAAAAGAAAGAATTAATTTCTAGACAAATGTAGCCAATTGCTTAGCAATGCAATTTCTTTGAACTACAGTGAAGGCAAACAAAGTGAAGGATATTCAGTCCTTAGGCATGATTGTCACATTTCCTCCGCAAACTATGCATTATTATTATTGTTTCCTTTAATTCCTAGAGGAACATAGGGCTTCAGCCATGCGTCTCCATTGCGTTCGGTTCTCTGCTAGAGTCTTCACCTGGCTCCAAGTCTGCCCACACGTTTTCATCTCCCCTTCACATGATCTCCTCGGACGACTAACTCGCCGCTTCCCTTTCGGGTTCCACTCAAGGGCTTGTCTAGTGATGTCACTTGATGGTTTCCTCAGAGTATGGCCAATCCATATCCATTTCCTTCTGTATATTTGTTTCACAATCGGTTCCTGGTTGGTTCGCTCCCAGAGATCTCTGTTACTGACCTTTTCTGGCCGGCCATCTGATCTTGAGTATTGAGCGAAGACAACTGTTAATGAAGGTCTGTAGTTTGTTTGAGTTGCTCTTTATGACGCCCAGTGCAAGTCTCTGATCCGTATAGTAGCACTGACTTCACATTGGAGTTGAAAATCCACACCTTATTTTTGATGCTGAGTGTTGTTGACCTGCATAATCGTTAGCGGCACCCCCTAGCAACGAAGCAGTAGCCAAGTCACCTCTCGATCGATGCTGAGCTATCGAAGGCCTTTTCAAAGTTGATGAAGTTGAGGTAGAGAGCTGACTGCCATTCCAAGCTCTTTTCAATGATGATACGTAGTGTTGCGATTCGATCGATGCATGACTTGTTCTTCCTGAATCCAGCCTGTTCCGGTCGAAGGTTTTCATCCAGGGCATGTTTGATTCTCTCCAGGATGATGCGGCTTAGTATTTTGCTTGGGATGGACAGGAGCATAATTCCGTGCCATTTCTTGCATTGACTTAAGTCTCCTTTCTTTGGTAGTTTGAATAAGTATCATTTCTTCCAATCCTCGGGTACTTTGCCTTCTTTCCACACCTTCTCCAATAGTGGCGTCATCAAGTCCGCTGTTGTCTCTGGGTCCATTTTCAATGCTTCTGCTGGGATTCCATCTGGTCCTGCTGCTTTTCCAGCTTTTAGCATCTTGATTGCCTTCAGGACTTCTGATTTCGTCGGGGGGTTGGTGTTCACTGGTAGCTCTGTCTCCGTTGTTGGTATTGTTGGGCGCGTTGTGGGTGGTGGTCGATTTAGGAGTCTTTTGAAGTGTTCAGCCCAGTGTTTCCTTTGCTCCACTTCTTTGGTGATTGACTTTCCATTGTCATCCTTCACCGGCTTAATTCGTGTCAAACTTTTGCCCGATAGGTACCTAGTAGTTTGGTAGAGTGTTGCGAGGTCTCCTTTGCCTGCAGCTTGTTCTGCTTGACTTGCCATGGTTTCATAGTACTTTCTTTTGTCTTCTCTGGCACTCTTCTTTACTCTTTTGTTCAGTGTCTTGTAGCTTGCATTCAAATCCTGTTTTTGTTGCTCATCGGTGCACTGGATAATCTTTTGTTTCACCATCCCTCTCTCTTCTGTTAGTTTCCAAGTGTCCGTAGTGAGCCATTGTTTGTCCTGTCTCTTCTTTCTGCCTAGAACTTCCATGCAGGTTTGACTCCACACTGTTTTCAAGTTGTTCCAGTGCTTTTCGACGCTGACCTCTTCGCCAGTGTTGATTTGTGTCTCGGCTTTGTCCTTTATGCTTGCAGTGAAGATGTCCTTTGTGTCCTGGTCAATCAGTTTTTGAGTGTTGAACTTGGCTTGTGGTCTATCTGCAGTCCCTGATTCTCTGAAGGCTTTTAGTTTGATTTGGATTGTCCCTTGTACGAGATAGTGGTCTGAGCCACCGTCTGCTCCTCTTCTTACTTTCGTGTCCAGTAGGCTGCGCCTCCACTTTCTTGAGCACCATTGAGATGAAGTCAATTTGGTTTTTGGTTCGCCCATCTGGTGACACCCATGTGGCATTGTGGATATCCTTGCATTATGATTGTTCAATTCAATTTTCATTTTGAAATTTTTATCTGAGAAAAACTCATATATGGATGAGAAATGAAAGAATACAAAGAAACAATGAGAGAGATTATGCCTGTACATAGAACTATGGTACATATTCTTACCTGAAGTGCTAACTGTGTAGTTTTAGTTTCCGATCCACTTGCACCGAATAAGTTGGCTGTTTCAATACGATATGTTGGTATTAACGAACCAGTGCCAGGCATTTCAATCAAAACAGTTACAATCGCAAATAAATTGATATTAGGATTATAAGCCGTGAACTGTATAATGACGGCTCGTGTAGAAAATTCAATCCAATGCATTTCTTTTAATTTACTCAGTTTGGCTAGCATTTCTTCTTTTGTGCCTCTTAACAAGTGGACATAACCACCACCTGAATACCAGGTGATTAGTCCCAAGTATGGATAACCTTTCAGTTGTGATGCACTTTGATAGACGTATTCTGGTGCAGAATTGTTAGACTTCTCATTTCCTTGGAAAGCGACCCAGGATATTCCATAGTCTGTTTTATCTTCTTTAAAAATATCATAAGTCGCGTAACAATGTTTAAATAGGTGCGTGGCTAAGTTGTGTACGTTGCATGAATCTGTTCAGTTAAAGAATATGAGTTGTTATAAAGTAAAAAATGAAGAACAGCCATATTAGTCAGATAAATTTTAACATAATAATCATCACTTTATTCCAAACAAGAATTTTTTCATACAAAATGGAATTTTCAACAGTTGTCCATATTACAGCAATTTATCTTTTATAAATATATAAATATACAAGGTAGTGAAAATTGAGAGTTAATGGAAGAATAACATAAGTAACAATAATTGTGGTTATAATTTGCTACTTTTTTGCTGACTGAAAAATTCATAAGCTGTTTTCTAACATTTGTCTCTTCACATGGAACCAGTGCTAAATATAGTGTGGTTGAATTTTTATATTTTTCCGTACGAGCATAAATTCCTGTGTAATTTCTTGTTTTATCCGATGAGATACAAGAAGAAAGTTAAAAATAAAAGGATCTATAGTATCAAAAATCATGACTAGCCAACTGCTTGCAGGAATTAAAATGCCTTTCAGCAACAGTGTCAATTAGCTGAGTCATAGGCATACCACAATCCACGGTTACAGCCTTCAGTGTCTTACGTAATATGACATAGTCTCACTATAGGTATTAACTGACAAATAATGTGCTCACCCTTTAACAGATGTATGTGTAAAATGACAGATGCTGATTTCCATTACTAATCTAATAGTCGCGGAACTTATGATTCGCCTGCTATCGACAGTCCTCAAATCAGGACTACAATCACTGGTGAAGAGAACTTTTTTTGATAAACGGATCAGGACATAACTTCGTCGCCTTTACATAGACAAGACTATGTGAAGGAGTGAATGCTCGTGGGCAATCGTGGACCTAGTTGAAACTGATGACAGAAAACAAAGAGCGATAGCTATTTATCAGTCATAACGTGGAAAATGAGTAATAGCCATAATAATTTCATTTACGACATAGTTTGATACTGTTACTGGAAGCCATCTAAAAATCTTTTTGAAAAAGATTTGGTGACTTGTAAAATAGTCATTTGAAGCTTGAATCCTGGGTTCCTGTTGACGCAGAGATATATCGTCTGTCTAACACTCATTGTTATCAAAGGCTCTATAGGTGACATAACTTTAGGATAAAGCCTTCCTTGTAATCTATTTTGTGGTGGTTGGTATACCTTTGTAGGCTATTTACACTTGATATTGCTTACTACATTAGTTTCCATATATTTTCATAAACTTATTATTTCAGTCAGACTTTAGTGACAAGTTTTGAGACATTACTCTTAAGTTATTTGGGCTACGTATCTAAATAGATTTTCAGATAAGAATTACTGTCAATAAGTAAATACGGTTGGTACTGGAAAAGTATTAACTAAAAAATGACATGTAAACTATCAGCTGAATAATTAAAAATCTCGATGAACTTATGCTGCATATAGCCATATTAGTAATATTAGTAAGGCAAATAGGCATTCAACAAAAAGATTTTAGCAACTAATTATAAATATACTATTCTAACATTGAAGATACTGCCTTTTATGTACCTGGTTTCGTTCTCACTTGTCTCATCATTGCGTACCCAATAATTCGATCAGCTCGATCTGCCAAAAATCCCCGTTGGAATAATGGTGGGTTGCCGTTATACCATCGATCTACACGTAGACCAGGAATTAATACCCCATTACACCATTTATAGAAGTCGTCCACTGTAAGAATCTGTCAAGAAAAACGCAGTTTTTCAATATTTTATTCTATCAAAATACATGAGTTGGTGTTGTCTATTCAAAGGTACGTCACGTTTTTCTGTAAAGTCCCCATTTTCTTTTAGTTATAATTAGCATGAACTGTGAGATGAAAATGGATTTTAATCCTGCTTTACAGTGCAGTCAGTCTAATTTTTTTAGCTAACTAATTGTGATTACATACTCTGAAAAGAGAGTAAGGCCAAATTCTTGCGTGATAACTAGTTATCTTACTACTTGCGCGTATCAGTTCATACATAAATATCAGAGAGCAGCCGATTCTTATGTTATTTAGTAGGATTTTTCACGGCACTTATCTAGGTAATTATTTTAGTCCACTATAAGTGAAATGTACAACCGACTTGGAATTGATAGTGATTAAGTCACATAAGACGAACGGAAAATATACCAACTTCATTTTGGTCTAATTATTGCTCGTTTTATAGTCAAACGAAAAACAATGCACTTTAGTTGTATCAACTATTATGCAGTAAATTTAACTTAATTAGCTACCGAGCCTATTTTAACTCATGTTCTTCAGGTTGACAGTAGACTCTACGTGGAATAATAACAAGAGGATAGCTTGTGATCATTGACCAAAACTTCATTTTCTTCGCTGCATTATCTCTTTACCAAGATTTAAATTCAAAAAAAGATAACAGGATGGTACATGGAAGTTGGTTACAGGTTTATAAGGGTGTGGGTAAGCGATCAGTTGTGTTTCATTTATTTTTAAAACTAATCAAATAGTTGAATAATATGCCCAAATATTGTTGATTATGTAGAAATAAGAGACTAAATATATACATTCAGAATTACACAGTGTGTTGCAAAATAGTCTCGTATTCTGAAAATGTGAGCACCAACAGAAGTTTGCAGCCTGCTTAAATCGCTGAGATATCGAAATGTCCATCCATTATAATTCGGAAACTCTTTTTCACTTCTTGTTTTTCTAATCAAACAGTTATATCAATTAATCACTGTATGAACTTGCACACATTTTTAATTAGATTTCAACAATAAAATGGAGTGAAGATAAAGGCTGTAGCTGGGTGTTTTCGCGTGTATTATAGGAAATGCTACAGCGGATATTTCAGCTGTGCATAAAAGTTGATATAATACCTCTGAAACAGCCAAACGCAACATCTGATATGATTACAGCATTCCTCTGGTCAACTACCTGCGGAAATTCAAATAGGAACTGATCACGTCTAGTTTACCTACACAAATATACTGAGACGAAAGCCTGTAAGTCTGATTTGCGATGATTTATATTCTTACTCACAAAATGCTGTACACTTCTTGAAGGAAATGAAGAAGGAATATTGTAAAGAATTGAGTCTTTCTTCATATGCAACAACACTGCGTCAGATGCTCTACTGCAGATTAGTATTTTACATGTAGATCCTGTACGAAGACAAAATATTTTGTCGAATAAGTTATAATTATATTTGAATAGTTTACACAATGATAAGTTCTTGTTCTGGTAAGATTTCGAGCAAAATTACCAGAACAAAAACTTATCATTGTGTGCAAACTATTGAAATATAATTATACCTTATTTACTCTATTCTACAATGCCCAAACTTTTTTACTGACACTAAAATATTTTGTAACTAAATACCCTGAGAATTTCCATGTTAATTTATTGTCCGAAATAGAGCTTTACTGTTTATGTACTGCTATTATTATTATTTGCTTTTCACTGTTGATGACTTACAGCCTCCTTGATGTAACCTTTTCTCACCTAAATGTTGTATTATAGTTTAGCCATCTGGTAGTATGAGGGATTTCGCCTCAGTAATTTGCTTACTTATTGTCAGACAAACCAGATAAACTAGAAATGCCATCTCCACTTCTTTATCCAGTCCATCTTATTGGTAGAAGTATCTTAATTAATGGATAAAGAGGTGGAAATTCTAAGTGTCTAAATACAAAGGCAGAGATGAATCTTATACTGAAGTTTGTTATGTCCATACAGATCCCCGGTAACATATAATATTTGAAGGCAAAAACCTGTAACTTGTGAAGAAATTATAAAACAATCTAGTTCTTATGGTCGACGGTAAGATTTTTGCTTAGCTTAAAAATATTTTTGTGTAAGAGCATATTGTTTAATATTTCTTATTTGCTGCCATTCTGGTTGGGTTGATTTCATAAACCTGTTTTGGCATCACCATCCAAAAAAATTTACATGTTTGCTCAAAGTCAGTATTACAAAACTGTCCAAATATTATGTCCACTTAAAAACGCACTAACCTTCTGAAAATCACCTGCGAAAAATGAATTCTGTAGGCTGGATTTTAAAAGGAATGCATTAGGATCACGAAATTGTATACTAACTGCTAACAGCAGTACGAGAAATAATACGTAAAGTACAACTTCTCTAGTGACGTCACTAGCTTTCCGTTGTTTGAGCCTATAAGCTCGGGCGCGTGCCAAGTCTGCTGGATCCGGAGGCAAGATTACAAGACGATGTGGGCGAAAATCTGAGAGCACTAGAAAAGAAAATACTTTATTTATTGAGAAGACAAGAAAGTGAGTTAATTATGTAGAAATTTAATTTTACATAATTTCTTTCACCAAGAACGTTACTAGAAGGTAATTCTACAAAAACTTGATGCCGCCATCTCATGTTGGAATTCGGTTGTTAGAAGTCATGAATCTATTGTGTACCTAGCGTGTGGGGATACATTATATCTTGCTCATTGCTTCACATGAAATTGTTGGTGCATCCATGTATAGCAGATATATATTTTCATCAGGTATTGTTGAAAGACAAAGAATCCACACCTGGAATTTGGCAAAAGTCCCGTGCGGCACTTAGTAGAAAAAGATTTTTTGAAAGCATACCTAATCACTGAGGAAGACATTTGTGATATCTGACACTCCATATCATTTTGCAAGACAACATTGCACTAATTACCACTGGACAGATGACTCAGGCGATGATCAAATTATACAGCCAGATATCTCCGTGAGGTACATAACTATCACTACGCCTGTATGTAGTCTTCCTGGAATTTTTATTTCCTACTTTTACACATTTTCGGACCAGATTGCCGAACGAAACGTTGGAATTAATCATTTCAATTTCGCTGAGATTTTACAAATATAATTTTATAAATTATTATTACTATTATCGTGATCATCTGTATTTAACATTTTTTCCAGCTGCTATCTCTGAAAATCTCACTGATATGCCACAACGAAGTGTAAAGAACGTATTTTGAAATTTCAATTTCTATAATTCAAATGTTATTCACACAAATGAAGTAATTCCTTCATCATTATATTTTTAGGAAGTTGGTTGCCAATGATAAGAAGAACTCGTTTTTCGTCAACCTTTATTTTGCAGCTATCTGTTGATATCAATGTACTGTTATGAGGCCTGTAACAACTAGATACTTTTGATTATTAAAGTATAATTCGGAAAATAATTATCAGCCGTTAGTGATTTGGAAGTAAAATAAATTAAGAAAACAAACTGTGTTAAATATGTATAAATAGCGAAACACTGTAGTGTTTACTTACAGTAGTCCTTATGCACGTATTCCTCATCCATTTGTAGCTGATAACGCTTGCCTAACGTTTGAATCAGGCGATCCTCTTCTTCGAACAACTGCAACTGATCCAATCGGTCAGGTGATTTGCAAGCAAATGAGTACAACATAGCCATCAGCAATACCTACAGGGTGAAAAGCGTTAAAAAGCTACTACTATCTATTAGTTGTTAAATTCATGCACTTCACAGAATTGCAATTAATAAAAGCTTTTCAATACTGGACATCGGCAATTAATCTTCAGGAAGCTCCATTTAGTTTGGTAGGGAAATGTTAAAGTGTCAATATTTACAAAAAAAGCTTGAATTCTCAGCATCATTTGTACTAATTTAAAGGATGCAGAAGACAGTGAAGAATCAAATTTGAAAGGTAAGCAAGGGTTAAATTCCCAATTTTTAAAGTGATTTCTGATTTACACAGTTTGAGGTGGAATTTCACCACAGTTTCCTTTGGAAACCGAAATTATTCAGATCATAATATGTGGTCTGCCTGACACCATTAAGTAGTAATCAAGAAAGCAAGCCATATAAAACCTGGTGCACTGCTGGTGTGTTGTGCCCCAAACAGTCAAAATCGTTGTCCAGTATTTAAATCGCTTAGATCTACCTGACAAACACTGGTGATGACTGTGAAAGGTATTCAGCTACTCAGCTCAGTCAATCAGTAGTATGTGGTACAAACAAGGATTAGTTGATTTTTTATAATAGATAAATCATAAGATTTAGTGATTGTTGAATACTTGAACTTCTTTAGACGTTAGGGTGCCAGATCCTTCCCACACCACAATGACAGTATGTTAACGATAAATGAATCTTAGAGTTATTTTAGTGATCATGACTACCCATATTCAGTAATAATCACATAATTTAAGTTGAGTAACTTATCATTAATTGTAGAATTGACTCATATATTTAATACATAAAGTGAATTAAATGAAAGAATATGTGACATATTGTTTACCTTAATTGGTTGTGCTAAAAATATATTTATAAAGAATGACAGGAACAATGAAGAAAGCCACTTTTTGCAAGTATCTTCTCCAAACATCACACCGTAGAATGTAGTGAAGGCAACAGCGGTAGCTAAGCATAAAACAATCAACAACCAGGCAAGTATACGGAATTGCCATCCACAAAAACATCTGAACCCCTTTCTCTTAACCATTTGCTCTCCAGTGTTTTCAACTGGTGCTTCTGGACTACACAAAATTAAAAAAAAGTACGAAAGGGAAGAATTAAAGAACAAATATTGGTTTCATTAAACTGTATAAATCTTTATCAGATTAAATGTTTTTCCCATACCTTAAGTAAATAACCTATACATTTATTTAGGCTTTATAACTCTTACAAAACGATTTAATACTAAGTTGATTATTTATGTTGTTTTTATATCTACTGTTTATTTTTCTAATGATGACCAAGCGAACAATCCAGTGGTGACACCATCACCAATTGTAATGCGTACAAATCAAGTTGACGAATACTTAATAGGACTAAACGTGTGTCCCAGGTCCAAATGTCTCCAGTCACTTCAACATAGTCAAATTTCTTGTATAGTTAACACAAATTTTGTTGTCTAGAATGAAAATCTGATATTCAAGACGAACTGCCAAGCTTTAAGCTTTCGAAAAGAAACCAAATCATTTTCCTGAGCTACATGTCTTTATCATGTTAATATTTTACCGTTAAAAGTAGATAAATTTCTTCTAGGATCAGTGTCATTTACGGAATTATTAAGAACTTTGGAGTGCCGGTTCTCTAAATAGTGATAATTTGTGAAGAAATCTAGCTTGAAACCAATGACATTAAAAATAAACTTACTCATTCTGTTTGCCTTTCTGGTGGTTGGTATAAATAAATGAAGCTTCGCCAAGATATAATTTCTCGTCCAAGTGTTCCTCGATCACATCCAGTAATTTAGTTGTATGACTGACACGTAGGCTTGAGTTACGAAATATGTACATGATTAAGAATAAGGGAATGAATGTCAGCACATTGTTGACAACTGCAACATAAAGCTGTAGCAAAATAAAAGAGAATTGAAAGGGAAAAGGAAAATCAACCGATTGGTATTACGAACACAAACCAAACACAGATAGTTAGAAAAAGTGTTAATTTAATCTACAGAGTTAAACAGGAGTAAAATAAGGACCTGTATACTAGTTTTTTCGAGATTAAATAGATCATAACTACACTTATAAGGTAAGTGATCTACTATACATTAGATTCTTGGCACTTGAGTACAAAACTCACAACGAAATATGAAGATAGTAAAAGTAATTGTTTTCGGGAGGCAGATAAAACGTTAGAATTCCAAGATTTTAAGCACAAAAGTGGCCCATTTAAAAATTCTCCGATAAAACTATTGGTTTTAGGACTGAATATAAACAAATATATTGGGAAACATGTCTTAACAGCTCATGCTGTGCAATTTTCTTGCGAACGGTTATTAATATCTGCGAAAAGTTTAGACTGATTGACTAACAGAAGGTTAGAAAGGCCGATTGGGTGTTCAAAAGTCACTGCATATGATTTACATAAAATGAAATTTCGTTCACAAAAAGAAACATTATTAATTGAGGTATTCACCTTGACAATAAACATAAAGAAGAATTTATCAACACCTAATAGTCAGATTTTTGAGGGAAATATTTGATACAACTTTACCATTGGAAACTACAAGATCGTAATACGAGAAATTTGGAAATAAGAATAAGTACTTGTGTTAGCAGTTGTTCCCAAGGAGGCATATACAGTTGAAAATTGTTTTGATACTTAGACCCCAGTTGCTCATTTCGTGCATTTGAAGTTATTCATGTAAATTAACAAGAAGTGTCAAGATAGAATTGAACGGCTGTATTCTATGTTCTCGTAATCGGTGATGAGACAGACTTCACTTGAGTGCAGTTTGGCAGGGAGGAACTTATAGAAATTCTTGATGAATGCATATTGGCATTCATCAAAGATCAACTTTTTTGTCTTACATCTGTAAGACTATTTTATCAAAAAAATTTCTAAACGATTTTACATGAACTCAGGTCCTGATAAATGAGGAAGCAGATACCTTTTACTGCAAACAGTTCATTAAAGAGTATGTTCTAGTGAAAATAAACCAGAAAACACTAGGTTATTCGAATGCATGGGAGATTAATATTAAATATATGAACTCAAAAGCTTTTGCAGTCAGAAAATGTGAAGTAATGAATTCAAGCTAGTAAACTGACCTCAGTAGCAGTGAGTCCAAATGGTCCGATACTAAACAAATTCGGCTGTTTTACAGCTCCTTCACCCTTATAGAACATGCATGAACCCAGCATTGATAAATACAGTAATAGCAGACAACAAGCTACTCTTTCCACACATGTGAATCGACTTTGAGGTGGCCTGGCGGCAATTGAAACCCACAAATGATCTTCGGCTATATTGCGAGAAGCTGTAGTGCTGAACATGTGCCTGAAAGTCAACAGTTCTTCCTGACTTGTCACTGGAATAAGGCGATCAACCTAAAGAATTGTTCGTTTTGTGAAAAAAGTAAAATAGTTCTAGTCACAATGGAAATATGACTGATTCAAGGTCAGCAAATTAATGAATTCCTTGTCGGCTTATTAACTTATTAGCCTTATTATTTGAAAAACATGTGGGATCTTTGCTTGAACGTCTATGAATAAGGCGGGCTAACCTTCCTAGCTAACTGAGAACGTCTTTATTATTAGCTATATTCCAAATATGTAAGACTCCAGGAGGAGAAAAGGTCTTCATACAGTTCAAAGCATTAGTGTACATCAACATTCATACCAATAGTCCTACGATTTGTTCTGTTTTTCCAATGATGTCACTTGAGGTATTTCTAAGTCATCTTTATCATACTCAAGAGCTGAAGCTTGCCGGTATATTCAGCTAAAACCGTTGTTTATGACTTCAACTTTTGCAAGCTGTAAGAAGCCCAATAATTATCATGCATCTGCAATATTCTTCTTCCACAATATTAAATTATCTAAAGCGCGAATCATTGTGCAGAAGTGACTATTATTTCTCTTTGACCATCCAAAGTATTACATAATTGTTGAATACTAGCTATGTAACACTCGTCCTCAGTTGCCATGTGAATTTATCATGAAGCTTTCTCTTACAAACAACATTCACGGGACAAAAGTCATTCTAATGCCAGTCGTACTACTTGATTATAAGGTCGCATACTTATTTCACTCTCATAAAGTGTGTGATGTTCTCTGCCCTGCCAACTATTTATTAGTTGCACGAGTGACAGTGCTTTAGCTGTAAATTATATAAGGGTTAAATAGCATATTTTGATAGTTTAGTTTAATGAATGCAGTAAACGAAGTTGACTAAGACACTTATTCAAGATTATTACCCTGTAGATATTTTTACAAGTGTTATTCTTATAGTTTATTTATATTCTTCGTTTTGATACTCAAAAGTAATGATCATTTAACTGTAGAGGTCTTTCTTTATATAGCCTTTGCAGATTTATTGTTTGTCCGTTACTTGTTGTTTTGTGACTTAGGCATTCACATCCAACATTTGTCTGACTCATTCATGTAAATGAGGATTACTAGTGTAACTAAATGAAGGAGCAGTAAAAGGAGCTAATATTTCGATGGTAGTCCTCCTAGTCCAAGCATATCACGTAACAGGCATTAATTAACCGTTTTCCACCATCTGACATAAACTTTAAAAACCACAGGCCTTAAATACTTTAAACAGCAAAAGTTATAACAGCTTGACTCAAATACACAGAACCATGCCGCCAAAACAAGCAAATGTAGTTATTATTACTAATACTAGTGGTATTAATAACGATAGTGTGACCTCTTTTTAAGTCTACAAATTCTCGAGCACCCTATTGCGTCACACCTTTCATGTATAACCACGCTTTTTGATTCTACAAACCTTTTTATCCTTTATCAGGCAAACTGATGCGTTACTATTATTGTTACGCCTTATTCTTCCTAGGGCTTCTGAAAAAAGACTATGTAGCATTACCAGGGACTTTGAAAGCTGTAAGGAGGGTTAGTGG